CAGTGGTAACCCCACTGCCTACAGAAGAAAGCCCTCCTCCTCAGCCTACCTCCAAGGCCCTTCACACGTTAGCCCAACCCAGCATCCCAAACACTCCCCCAACACCCCAGTGCTCTGCCTAACCTACCCCAAAACCAACAACTGTACCTTTTCCTGGTTCTCACCAAAGCTCCACTGCCCCCAACTCTGTAAGTTTGCTCATCCTGTTTCTCGTATCTTTTCATGTCTCAGTGTTACTTTTCTTCTGAGGCACAGTACGAATGTTCTCTCATCTGTAAGACATTTTCTGATGCCCTCTCATCCTCTTACTTCACCTCCTTACATTTAGTTGTGTTTATACAACTACAAGGTGGAAGGTGGCATGTCTCCCCTACCACACTATGAACATGCCAAGGACCAAACGCTTGTCTGAATTATCATCATACAACATCTCAGCCCCACAGACCTGGTCAAAGAGAAAAAAAAAAACAGCTGTCTTCCTCGTGTCCACAGGGATCCAGCCCCCCTTCCCAGCCCACCACACCAAAGTGAGCACCAAGTGGCCAATGTGATGCCTCGGTGGGGAGCAAGAGGAAGGAGAAAGCACTGCACTAGGAGTGGCGAGACCCAAGTTCTAGCTCTGGCCTTGCCATTAACTAGTGGTCTGACCTCCACTGTGACACCTGGATGTAGAACAAAATCAGATTTCCCACAATGCTGTTCCACAGGCTGCAAAGCAAGATGTCCATGGGGTGGGGGGCGGGGCACCTCATTAACATATCCCACACGAGCACTCCACGTCGTTCTGAGAAATGGTGGGGAGGTGCTGCCTACAGGTCTGTCAACGAGCCAACTGGGACACAGCCTGCAGGGTGCTGGAAAGGCTCTGCCCCAAGGCCCCCGAGGGGACTTGTAGCAGCATGCCACCCTGTTGAAGCAACATGCACACTGGCATCTTTCTGGAAATCACCGGACTGGGGTGGGTGGGTGAGGAGGGGGTGAGAAAGGGTATGCTTCCTGAGGGTGGCCTCTCATTCCCATCACTCACAGAGGGCAGGTCAGCCCAGCTTTGACTGGCAACTCCAGCATGTGCCCAAGCTCTGGCCACCAGGATGGCGGGGGGGGACGAGGGCACGTTTATGAAGGTGCGAGCCAGGGGTGGGCTGAAGAGCAGTTGGCACAGAGGAAGGATGGATAAAAGGGCACAGAATCCCCTGCTTGTCCCCTCTACAGCAAACAGGCCACAGGAAGCAAAGATGTTCCCAAACTCAGCCCTTAGCGACGGATGCCGGCAGCCCAGTGCTTTCCCGGCCCCTTCCAGTGCCTGCTCCCTGGGAAGCCAGAGTCCAAAGAACCCTCTTTCGCCTGCCCCGACAGCAGCCACCTGGGGGTGGCCCTGACAGCAGCCACCCAGGGGGCGGCCTAAGCCACCTCCAGCCCCTGCCAGCCTGGCAGGCAGAAGGTGTTGAGCTCTGCTTGGTCCGTCAGTATGTGTGTGTGCGTGTGCGTAAGCGCGTGCACGTGTTGGGGGTGTTTGTGTGTGTGTGTGTTGTGTGTCAGGTGTGTGTGGGATGTATGTGTATGTCGAGTATGTGTGTACGTGTGCATGTCTGCATGTGTCGGGGGTTTGTGTGTATGTGTGTGTTGGGTGTGCGCATGTCAGGTATGCGTGTGTGTGTCGGGTGTGTGTGTGCACGTGTGTCAGGTGTGTGTGGGGTGTGTGTGTATGTCGAGTATGTGTGTACGTGTGCATATCTGCATGTGTCGGGGGTGTGTGTGTGTAAGTGTGTGTTGGGTGTGTACGTGTGTCAGGTGTGCGTGTGTGTGGCGGGTGTGTGTGGCGGTCCTGAGAGGAGAACAGGACTCTCCTGCTGTGACTCCCACTAACTCGCCGTCTGACCTAGAAGGAAGAAGTCTATTTTCTGAACGTGCATCCCTTGCCTCAGCAATGAGGAAAAGGACTAAACCATCCCGAGGAGCCTGTCCTGCTCTCCAGCAGGCCTACCCCATCCCAGGGCCCCAAGGCAGAGGAGCTGGGTAGTTACAAAGGACTAGGGCAACAGAGCTGGGGAGAAGAAGGCAGGAAGGGGTCTGGTGGCAGAGGCCTGATTCTCTACCCAAGTCCTGGGCATCAGCCTGGCCACTGACGACCCGAGGGGGGTGCTCAGCCTCCCCACATGGAGATGAAGAGGCAGTGGTCTCTCACCCCAGTCCACAGAGACACGGGAGCCAGGCAGGCCAACCAAGGAGGAGAGCAGTTTCCGGCTCAGGAAAGCAGCAATGCAGCTTAGAAAGAAAGTCGGCCTGCCACTCAGCTGAGGGACACGTGGAATGGCGACAGACGCAGAGATCCAGCGATGGAATGGGAAGCAGCACTCAGGAGCCAAGCCGCTACCTGTGAGGAGGGCTGCCTTTACCTAGGGCAGCCCAAGTCTAAGGGGAAATCAACCACTAGGAAGAGCTGTCATCATCGGGGTGGGGGAGTCACTCTTGTGAGTCTGAACCTCCCAGTAGGGACGGGAGAAAGCCACCATACAACGTATAATGAGAACAGAGCCATGATAAACCCACCTCAGGTTAAGAATCCACAGCCAACAGACAATGTTTCCATAAGCGTATTTGTATGCTCTGTAAGAATGTTCAGGTGTATATACAGTAGAGTTGACAAGGGACAGGGTTGTGGTCACCTCTTGGCCACAGCCAGCTACCCTGAGGGAGTCAGTGGTTGGATCTGTGGGCTAGGGACCATGGTCACAGGGGACATCAAGCTCAACTGGCAGAACATACTTCACAAAAACATCGTTCCACATCCTACTTTGGCGAGTAGTGACTGGGATCTTAAAAGCTTGCAAGCAGCCATCTAGATTCAACGATGGGTCTCTTCTCCTCCAGAGCAAAGAAGAATAAAGAAAACCAAAGACACATGGAAATAATTAGTCCAAGGGACTGGTACACCATGCAATCCTCAGCCTATACAACTCTGAGACCAGAAGAACTAGATGGTGCCCAGCTACTGCTGTCAACCACATGAAGGGGGATCTAGATAGAGTGGGAGAACAATGTGAAACAAAACTCAAAATCATTGAAAAAAAAGGGGGGGGGGACCAGGTTTGCTGGTCTGATAGAGCCTGCTAGAACCCCCTGAGACTATGGCCCCCAGTCGCCCTTCAGGTCTGGAATTGAGCCCACTCCCATGGCTTCCAGCCAAACAAAAGGCAGGCATATGAGCTGAACATTTACATTAGGTAAGATACACTCTTTGGAGAGATCATGGGAGAAGAGAAGGGCTGTGTATACACAGGGAGACAGCTTGGGGGGCAGAGTGCATGGGAGGGAAGGACACAGGGAAGAGGTAACTATGGGGAGGAAGTAGAAAGGGAACTGTTACGTTGAGGGAAACTGCAGTCAATGTCATGAGACACAGTGTATGGGAGCTGCTGTATAGAAAATGAATTTGCTCTGCAAACTTTTGCCCAAATCATAATAGAAATTACAAAAACCAAAAAAAAAGAAGAATCCATAGCCAGGCAGGGAGCAGGGATGGGGTAGCGGGGAACACCTCGCCCCGCAGCCAGGCCAGGCGGGAGGCGGGGGGCAGCTACACCACGAAGCCCAGCAACGAAGGGCAGCCCTGGGGATCTTTGTGCAAAGAGCCTGCCGATCTCCCTTCCCCTCGGCAAGACCTTCCAGCAAGACCAGTGGAAAATCTGAGAGTTCCAGTTCCCACTGGGAGGAAAGATAAAGGATGTCCCTAAAAGGCTAAAAATTCCTGGGGCCCTCTCTGTGGAAAGCCCGGAAGGCAGCAGCTGGGCTGGGCGGGAGCAGAGAGGGGGCTGTGAAGGGGAGAGGGTGGCAGTGGCTTGGGGCTCAGGATCCAATTACACGGCTGTTTCCATACTTAGCCACCTGACAGCCGCTTGGAATACGTACCACTCCAGCCCTGCAGCCCCACAGAGCCCAAATTAACTCAAGGGCAGACAAGGGCAGGGCCCAGCAGCACACGCGGTGGTCTGAGCCCCCCACCCTATGTCTCTAAGCCCCCAGGAATGGCTTCTGCTCCTGCCTTCCACCGGCTCCCCTGGCTGGGACTATGTCCTTGTTGTCCCCTATTCTCAAGAAGCAGACCCTCAAGGAGCTGAGAGGCTGGGACTATAGGCCCCACAGTCCCATATGGAAGGAAGCCCCAGACAAAACTGCAGGGTTGGGCTGGGTGAAGACTACCAAGTCATGAAAAGACAAAGTAGGGAGCCATGGATTCCTGGAGAGACCCCCAGAGCACCCCCGAAGAATCTCCAAGGGGAATGCAGCCCCAGGAGACTTGGGAACAAGAGAAGCGGCAAGCTGATATGGTGTCCCCTCCACAGCCTATAAATAACCCCCACGCTGGACCCAAGCCAGCCCCTGTATGACAGAAAGCGCTGAGATATCAAAGGGAAACCGGGCCGAGCAAACGCCCCTTCCAACGAAGCCCCTGACCCTTGCGGAGGCTCTGGGAACCATTCATCTTCTGGAACACCAATTCAGTTTCCAGCCAACCCCCAACTCTACCGCCAAAGCCACCCTGTTCCCAAAACGCCCCCTCTTCTGCCTGCTGCCGGCCCTTCGTCCTCAATCACGCAGACCCAGGAGACCAGTCTTCTGCCAGCTCCAGGACTAGGAGTCCACTCCTGACTCTTGGGGTCCTCTCCCCCAGGACCTACCAGCTGAGCCACTCTCTGCCAGCGACCCCCGGCTCAGACGCCACACGCCCTGCATCTCCCGGCTCACTGCCCCCCCCCAGCCTCCCCACCAAGCTCCAGTTCTCCCCCAGCACCCTGTCCTGTTCCTTCCCCGCCGCCCAGGGTCCAAGGGAGGAGAGAGCAGGGACAGCCGCATGAGCAGCCTCCAGGACAGGACTTGTCCTTTCCTCACCGCCCAGCCCGCTCCTCCACCACCTCCACCGCCTCCCCCGCAGGAAAAAGCAAACCTCGGGGCATGCTCGGGGGTCACAGTCAGGGCCTGGCCCGGCGGGGGGGGCATACCTGCTTGTCCTGAGAGCAGGAGAGACGCCACGAAGCAGCAGAGCAGGACCAGCGCCCTCATGGTGACTGCCAAGAGCGCCCAGCTGCTCCTCGCCTCTATTTATACGGCACTGGTGGCAGCGGCAGGCAGCGGTGGGGGGAGAGGGTCACACAGTCACTAGGGCAACTGAGCGGATGTGAGGAGGAAGAATCGCAGACCCTGACAGGCTGCGCGAAGCCTCAGTGCTGCTGCTGCCCCGGTGCCAAGGCCCGGATGGCTGGGGCCTGGGTTTGACTGTCCAGCCGGGACAGCCCGCGGCTCACATGACACGGGTCACAGCGAAAATGTGGGCGTGCCATGGGGTTAAGAACCTGAACCTTCTCAGTAGCACTACACCTGACAGAAAATCTGGGGCAAGTTAATACCTTCACATACTCATCTCAACGAAGAAACTGTGGGCAGAGCAAGAGCTTGGGTCAAGAGCAAGAATCGGGTCGATTCTGACTCATAATGACCCTTTGGGACAGAGTAGGATTGTCTCATAGGGTTTCCAAGTATGTAAATCTTTATAGAAGCAGACTGCCTCATCTTTCTCCTGCAAAAGAACTGGTGGGTTTGAACCTCTGACCTTTTGGTTAGCAGCTGCGTGTGTTAACCACTAAGCCACCAGAGCTCCTGTTCCTATTTGACAGCTACTGATACATGTTTTAAGGAGCCCTGGTGGTACAGTGGTCAAGCACTGGGCTGCCAACTGAAAGGTACGGTCGGCAGTTCAAATCTACCAGCTGCCACCTGGAAGAAAGAAGCAGACGTCAGCTCCCATAAGATGCACAGCCTTGAAAACCCTATGGGGCACTTCTACCCTGTCCTCTAGTGGGGCTATGACTGACAGCGGGTTTGGTTTTCCAGTTTGGATGTATGTTTTGAGCCCTTTCCCAAAAATTAGGAGCGTAAAGTCATAATGCCTAGTTCAGGAAAACCTGCGACATCTGACCTTGGAGGTCAGTGGCTGGTGGCTTAACCTCCACAAGGGACAGAATGCTGACCAGCTTCTGATGCTGGGATGTCAGAGGCTGGAGGGCTAGAGATCCGTTTCCAATGGCACAGGGGTTCCAGAATGTTCCATGGCCTCGGCAAAGTGCTCTTTGATGCAGTTTTGCCAAGGGCACACGATGGTCCCTGAAGGTCAGTTCTAAACCAAGGGAAAGCAGACACTGGCTTGTCTGGCTGAGGGGAGGGGTCCCTGTCAGGAGAGGAGGCAACAGGAACTAAGGAGAAAAGGAACTAAAAATAAATTAGGCAACTATTATGTGTAGGATGCTTTACTGAAGCAACTGGGATCTTAAAAGCTTGCAAGCAAAAAAAAAAAAAAAAAGCTTGCAAGCAGCCATCTAGATGCAACCATGGGTCTCTCCTCATCCAGAGAAAAGGAGGAAGAAAACCAAAGATTCATGGAAACAATTAGTCCTGTTGTTGTTATGTGCCGTCGAGTCGGCCCCGACTCATAGCGACCCCTCCTTGGGTTTCCGAGGCAGTATCACTATGGAAGTAGGATTGCACAACCTTCCTTCCGAGGAGTGGCTGGTGGGTTTGAACTGACAGCCGTCTGGTTAGCAGGCAAGTGTCTTAGCCATTATGCTACCAGAGCTCCTAGTGACTGGTAAACCATGCAATCCACAGGCTATACACTATGAGACCAGAAGAACTAGATGGTGCCTGGCTACCACTGTCAACCACACGAAGGGGGGATCCTGGATAGAGAAGAACAATGTGGAACAAAACTCAAAATTATTTGGGGAAAAAAAAAAACAGGGGGGAGCGCCATGTTTGCTGGCCTGATAAAGCCTGGTGGAACCACTGAGACTATGGACCCTAGGGAAGAGGTAACTATGGGGAAGAAGTGGGAGGGGAGCTGGTGCACTGTGGGAAATTGCAGTCAATGTCATGAGATAAAGTGTATGTGAACTGCTATATGGAAAGTGAATTTGCTCTGTAAACTTTCACCCAAATCACAATTGAAAAAAAAAAAAAAACTTTACTGAGTTATAATTGGCATATGCTAAATAGTATATGTGAGGAACTCTGGAGGTGTAGTGCCTAAGGTATTTAACTGCTAATCAGAAGGGTGGAGGTTCAAACCCACCAGCCACTCCTCACAAAGAAAATGGGCAATCTACTTCTATAAAGATTTACCACCTTGGAAACCAAAGAAGGGGTCTCTATGAGTCGAGTCGACTCGAGGGCAGTGAGTCTGAGTACATACCATATGGTGGGCTCAGGTATAGCAAGGATTGTGAGGCTGGCACAAGACAGGGCAGTGTTTTGTTCTGTTGTACATGGGGTTGCTATGAGTCAGAGCTGACTCAATGGCACCTGACAACAACAAATAACACATATTTGAAAGATACAACCACTACTTATCTGATGGACTGTGGGATGACATCAAGAATATCATACAGGACGAAAGCAAAAGGTCATTAAAAACACAGGAACGTTAGAAAAGACCAAAATGGATGTCACAAGAGACTCTGAAAATTGCTCTTGAACAGAGAATGGTTAAAGCAAATGGAAAAAATGACAAGATAAAAGAGATGAACAGAAGATATCAAAGAGCAGCCCGAGAAGACAAAGCCAATTATTATAATAAAATTATAGTAAATTATAGTAAATTATAAAATTATAGTAAAAAAAAAAACTCCAAAGACCTGGAGTTAGAAAAGCAAAAGGGAAGAACACATGTGGCATTTCTCAAACTGAAAGAACTGAAGAAAAAAATTCAAGCCTTGAGCTGCAATACTGAAAGATTCTATGGGCAAAATATTGAATGATGCAGGAAACATCAAAAGAAGATGGAAGAAATACACAGACTCACAGTACCAAAAAGAATTGGTTGAGGTTCATTCATTTCAGGAGGTGGCATATAATCAAGAGCCAATGGTACTGAAGGAAGAAGTCGAAGCTGCACTGAAGGAAGTGGCGAAAAACAAAGCTCTAGGAATGGACAGAATACCTTCTGAGATGTTTCAACAAATGGATGCCATGCTGGAGGCACTTACTCATCTATGCCAAGAAATTTGGAAAACAGCTACCTGGCCAAATGACTGGAAGAGATCCATATTTGCTCCCATTCCAAAGAAAGGTGATCTCACAAAATGTGGAAATTATCAAACAATATCATTAATATCATATGCAAGTAAAATCTTGCTGAAGATCATTCAAAAACAGTTGCATCAGTATACTGACAGGGAACTTTCAGAAATGCAAGCTAGATCCAGAAGAGGACGTGAAATAAGGGATATCACTGCTGATGTCTGATGGATTTTGGCTGAAAGCAAAGAATACCAGAAACACTGTATATTTTGTTGTTGTTGTTAGGTGCCGTCGAGTTGGCCTTGACTCATAGCGACCCTGTGTACAACACAACGAAACACTGCCCGGTCCTGCACCTGCCTTGTAATTCCTCTATGCCTGAGTCCACCGTTGCAGCCACCATGTCAATCCATCTCACTGAGGTCCTTCCCCTTCTTTCATTGACTCTTTGCTTTATCAAGCATGACATCCTTCTCCAGGGAATGGTCCCTTCTGACCACATGACCAAAATAGGTGAAATGAGGTCTGTCCAGACTACACTGTACTACATTGGACTATGTGAATAATAAGAAATTATGGATAACATTGAGAAGAATGGGAATTCCAGAACACTTAATTGTGCTTATGAGAAACCTATACACAGACCAGGAAGCTATCGTTCAAACAGAACAAGGGGATATTGCATGCTTTAAAATCAAAAAAGAGTATGTCAGGGTTGTATCGTTTCACCATACTTATTCAACCTGTATGCTGAGCAAATAATCTGGAAGCTGGACTATCTGAAGAAGAACATGGCATCAGGATTGGAGGAAGGCTCATTAATAACCTGTGATATGCAGACGACACAACCTTGCTTGCTGAAAGTAAAGATTACTTGAAGCATTTACTGAAGAAGATTAAAGACTACAGTGTGCAATATGGTTTACACCTCAATATAAAGAAAACAAAAATCCTCACAACCGGACCAATACACCACTTCATGATGGATGGAGAGAAGACTGAAGTTATCAAAGATTTCATACTGATTCCAAAATCAACACCAATGGAAGCAGCAGTCAAGAAATCAGACATCATACTGTACTGTGCAAATCTGGTACAAAAGACCTCTTCAAAATGCTGAAGAGCAAAGACGTCTCTGAAGACTTAGGTGTTCCTAACCCAAGCCATGGTATTTTCAGTAGCCTCATATGCATGTGAAAGCTGGACAACGAATCCAAAAAAAAACAAAAACTCACTGCCATCAAGTCGGCCCCGACTCACAGTGACCCCTCCTTGGGTGTCCGATGCAGTATCTCTACAGAAGTAGATCGTCCAATCTCCCTTCCGAGGAGTGGCTGGTGGGTTTAAACCACCAGCCTTCTGGTTAGCAGTCAAATGCCTTAAGCACTATGCCACCAAAGCTGCAATGACTAAGGAAGACCAAAAAAGAGTTGATGCCTTTGAGTTGTGGTGTTGGCGAAGAATGCTGAAAGCACCATGGACTGCCAGGAGAACTAACAAATCTGTCCTGGAAGAAGTGCAGCCAGAGTTCTCCTTGGAAGCAAGAATGGCCAGACTTCATCTCACCTATTTTGGTCATGTGGTCAGAAGGGACCATTCCCTGGAGAAGGATGTCATGCTTGGTAAAGCAGAGAGTCAATGAAAGAAGGGGAAGGACCTCAGTGAGATGGATTGACATGGTGGCTGCAATGGTGGACTCAGGCATAGAGAAATTACAAGGCAGGTGCAGGACCGGGCAGTGTTTTGTTGTGTTGTACACAGGGTCGCTATGAGTCAGGGCCAACTTGATGGCACCTAACAACAACAACAAAATATACAATTTGATAAATACGGATGCATATAAAAAACTGGGAAACCCACACCACAATGAAGATAATGAACAAACTCCTCATCCCTGAAAATCTCGTGTCCCTCTCTAATCCTTCTCTGCTACCCTTCCCAAGCAACCACAGATTGGCTTTCACTACTCATTTTGCATTTCCTACATTTTGATATAAA